CTCATCCACCGCCATCCGCAAACTGTCGTCCCCGGCCAGTCGTACATTATGTAAAACAGCATCAACTAGGCCACGGACGGAGTGGAGTGACGATATGAACGCAGGGAGCGCGATGTCCTTTGACATACGGATACCCAGACCTCCCAGCCGGACCGGCAACACAGCTTGTTCAAGAGATTCGCGCTCGAAGCTGACATTGGTGATGGTCGAGAGGGCAGAAACCAACACCTCATCGAACCGCTCCAAATCACCTACTGTCTCTTATACACATCTAGATGTGTATAAGAGACAGAGTTTAGGTAGAGCGAAACAATTCTTTAAAAGCGTAAATGCTTGATGACTATCAATTAATTTTAAACGCTCCACCATCCTCTCCAAGCCCTCCCGCTTCTCCCGGACAACGGCGGAGACGCCCTCCTCGTGGAGTGGGGCACCCAGTAAACACTCATAAACACGGGCATTAACACTCACATCCCGGTAATTGATTCATTTCTGTTTTTTAAAACTTCCCGTTATTCCCTATCTGTCCATATTCAATAAATGGATCATGAATGCGCTAATTATGCAAGGTCTTCTTGTGCCTACATGAACCGCGTTCTAATACTTCCTGCCCTACAATGGCTTCATTATCAACATGTCTTATACAGCACATGTCTTCGCGCTTCTCTAATCATTTCTTCAAGCTTGAATGTACTCATCAGGCTGCGACCATCTGTGCTGCTCTTACTCATACTCTGAGCTACCCAACTGCGCAGTGATATCAGAACATTATTTGCACCACAAGATGACTTCATGTTATTTCGGAACGTTCATGTTATTGCTGAACGTGTCATGTTATTGTTGAACGTGCCATGTTATTGTTGAACGTGCCATGTATTGTTGAACGTGCCATGTTATTGCTGAACGTGTCATGCTATTGCTGAACGTGTCATGTTATTGCTGAATGTGCCATAATATTGCCAAATATGCCATGTTATTGCTGAACGTGTCATGTCATTGCTGAACGTATCATGTCATTGCTGAACGTGTCATGTCATTGCTGAATGTGCCATAATATTGCCAAATATGCCATGTTATTGCTGAACGTGTCATGTCATTGCTGAACGTGTCATGTTATTGCTAAATATGCCATGTTATTGCTGAACGTGTCATGTCATTGCTGAACGTGTCATGTTATTGCTGAACGTGTCATGTTATTGCTAAATATGCCATGTTATTGCTGAACGTGTCATGTTATTGCTAAACGTGCCATGTTATTGCTGAACGTGCTGTGTTATTGCTAAACGTGCCATGTTATTGCTAAACGTGTCATGTTATTGCTAAACGTGTCATGTTATTGCTGAACGTGCCATGTTATTGTTGAACGTGCCATGTTACAGTCTAATAATTTCATCATGGATACCTCAATTCTCTAAACATCTCCGCTTCACATAATTTTATTATTGACTTATGTGGGTCTACTGAAGCAGAAGTGACTTGTTGGTCTTGCATGGTCGCCCTCAGTTTTACGAAAGTCATAATGCATTCCTTCATATTATATATTCTCGCAGTGATCCATGTTCTGAATGCTAAAAAAAGAGTTAGAATTTTAGAAGTTTTTCGTGGTCTCTTAATCACGCCGCTTCTTTTTCGAAAATTATCACCACATCATCATTTTTTATGACAACTGTCTGTGTTAATGAACTAATCACTTCATACAATTTCTTTTCATTTCTAATTAACGATTGTTAATGATCCATTCACACCACATCCCAACTCTCGGTCAACTCCCCGCTGTTACCGATCACTCTCGCCGGCTCTCATCACCCACAGGATTTCTCCATCCAACGTCGCCGCGGACGCTGGAGTTGGACGAGGGGCCGGCTGATCAAGGGACAAATCAGGACGCAACTGGGACGCTGTGGAGCGTCTCTGGAGACCGTGTCGTGGGCCTGAGTGATGGTCTCACAGCAGACAGCTGCTGCCGCCCAGACTTGACGTATGACTCTATACAAACCAAGAAAAATGATGCCAAGTGTCTCACCTCGCACGAATTTACTGGGGGCTCACTGCTCCATGAATTCTCAAATCAGCACGAGAGCGCTGGTAATAAGATACTATTTTTAAGTTATAAATATATATATGTTTCAACACGGGTGGTTAATGGCCAGAGAATTCGTCAATTTAAATTTTCAGGGACGAACAATATTCTTCAGATGACATTAGTTGATTAAAATGCAGGTTCAAGGGAGTATTATCACTTTATTAACGACGTTTCGAATGTAACAACATTCATTTTCAAGTTACAGGAAGCATTGAATACAGAAATTTTGATGGAAATAAGTACATGATACAAGTAAATAGGATACAACACGAAAATTTGGAACCATGAAAATAATTCCAAAACAATCTCAAAGCTCAAAAATCAGGTAGTTACGAGATGGATAGATGGAGTCCAATCCGCAGAAAAGGGCTTCAGCTATCGTCGGTTGGATTATGTCGGGCCACCGCAAGATGACAATGCTGGTGGGTTCCTTTAGCGCAGTGCAAGTGACAGTCTCGTTGAGATTGGCGTTGTCGAGAGTGTCACGGGGACAATTGATTTCATCGCGGATCTTGAGATGAAGTTGCTTGATTGTGATGCTTTGAGACCTGGTCTGGTTGCGAGCTTGTCTCAAGTGGCAGGATAAACGGCTGCTCAAAGTCGAAGTAGCTACCCCAATTACTCCAATGCAGTCAAAATAATGAAGAAGTCTACAACCTTCTTTGAAGCAAAATTTATTGATTACACCAGATTCTTGAAGAACTGCCGCTCGTTTGAAGTGACCGTTGCTGCGTATTGTTCGGGGTTTGACGTTGTTGTCAAGGTTGTCATGGAGCCAGTTTAATTCATTGCGGATCGTGAGATGAAGTTGCTCGATTGTAATACTTAGAGACCTGGTTTGATTGCGAGCTTGTCTCAGGTGGCAGAATAAACGGCTGCTCAATGTCGTAGTTGTTACTCCAATTACTCCGATGCAGTCAAAATAATGAAGAAGTCTACAACCTTCTTTGAAGCAAAATTTAATGACTACACCAGATTCTTGAAGAACTC